GATGCAGACAAGCGGCAGCACTGCAGCGGAGCAGGAGCCCTCGCCGAAGTCGCCGGGGGTTTGGTAGCGGTGTTTGTGCGGCCCCAAGTTCTGCTTAAGCGCAGATACGTCCTGGGAGGTGGCGGCGGCGGGGGTGGAATTTTTGCTCAGGACGTTTCTGCGGAATGATTTGATTTCGCGAGTTTAAAGGGCTTTTAATCATTAACCACCACAATTTAAAATTCACCGAGTTTCCTGAAGGGAGTGGCTGTCGCCCTGTACGCAAATTAACGAGGGCTTTTCTTTCGTTTTCTCTGCCGATTACCTGCCCTAGTAACTGCCTGAATTGCAAAGCTTCTCGGCGAGGATTCACCGGCAGAGCGGGGCTGAGGCCGGCAGCGGGGCTGAGCCGGGCCCCGCACCCCGCACCCCGCAGCCGTGCGGCGCTGCCGGTGCCCGACGCCCCGGGAGGGAGGGAGCGCAGGTGGGGGCCGTGCTCGCCCGTAACCCGCCGGGGAGCCTGCACCAGAGCCTGCCCTTCCCCGGCTATGCGGCGTGTCAAGCTGGCAGGGAATTTGAAAGAGCATTCCCTGGATTTCATTTCCAGGGGACGCAATTTGTGACTCAGCAGCGAGGGCTGGAGGGCTCACGGCTTCGGCCGCTCTTCGGCGCCCGTGCATGCACGCATGCACACACGCACACATGCACACGCGAGTCGAGTGAGTGGGCCTGCAGCCTCTTTGCTGTTAAAGGCCCGGCAGATTGAATGTGTGAAAGTAACTAAAACAGCCTGGATGAGCTGATTCTTCGTTTTTTTTTTAAGGAGGGGTGAGGAAAAGATGCCAGGTTAGCTCGCCACGCTCCCAGCTGTTGGAAGGAGTTAACTTGTGAGTGAACCAACCTGACAGCACTTAAATTCGGTCGTAAAAACAAAGTCCTGTGGTGATTTTTTTTTCTCTCTTCGTATTTTAATGCCAGATGTTGAACCATATCTAAACTGTATTTTATTGCTTTGTGAAGCTGTTGAGATAATACCGGTGTTGTAGGAGATGATCTCCAAAGGGCGCAGAAGGGAAGGGGCGGAGGGGAGGGGAAGGGAGAGGGCCGAGGCTCGCATGGTCGCAGGTTTCTCCTCCATCCCCCGCTCAGCCGCTGCTCCCTGACGCTCTCACGCTGCTTCCAGGCTCTGCCTCCCTCCCACGCCGCCCGGGGTCCCCGGGGTGGGGGGGTGGGAGCGTGGCGGCTCTCCCGGGGGCGCAACATCCCCGCTTGCTGGCGAGAAAAAGTGCGGAAAGTGTTTGAGGCGGAGGGGAGCGGGGGAGTTGTGCATCGGGGCATTGGCCTTGACACGGGCAGGCGCCGCGCA